TTTTCATACGATTAGTACACATGCTGTGTAGATTCATATGGCATTTCCACACAACTAGTACACACACTGCATAGGTTCACATGGGATTTTCATACGATTAGTACACATGCTGTGTAGATTCATATGGGATTTCCACACAACTAGTACACACACTGCATAGGTTCACATGGGGGTTTCATACATCTGGTAAACATGCTGCGTGGATTTATATGGAGGTTCATACGAGTAGTAAACATACTGCATAGATTCATTTGAGAGAGAGTCTCTTCAAAGACACAATATGATGTGATTCGTATGTAGCGAGCAAGTTTACAAATATTCCAAAGTAAGTGGTTCACGAGTGCACGAATAATTAATCTATTGAATATAATGAGGGATATATTGACATTTTTACACAGTATTGCCTTAATTAAATTAACAAGGTCTACAACGGTGACATATACAATTTCTCAAAATAGATTCGAGGAAGGATATTTGGATTTCCAGTATTAAAATATTTTTCAAATCAATTTGAAAGTGCACTGACCTCTTCACACTGTAAATGAGAATACACACTAAGCCTAATATACATACTAAATACATACTATGTTAAATGGGGTTCTGTTACGTCAGATTCGACGGTTTGGAGTTTCTAACGGGGTTAGACACGAGGGTATATTATCTCCCTTTTTTAATTTGTATGTTGATGTTCTGAATGTTGAGCTTGTGAATATTTCTGTTGGTCTAAAAATTAACAGTATGTTCACCAACCATACGTTTTATGCTGACGACCTTATTCTGGTTTCTCTTTCTATTAGGGATTTGAATTTTCTTGTAAAGAAATGTGAGAATTATGCCAATGAATTTGATATTTTATTTAATTCTAGGAAATCTGTCTGTATGTATAATTTACCATCCCAGTGTGACATTAAACGAGTTCCCAATGTTTATCTTAATGGCAAGCCACTAAAATGTGTTAGTCAATATTGTTATTTAGGATATCATTTTACCCAGGACGGAAAAGACAGTATTTGTATGAGAAAACAAATACGTGGATTGTTTATTCGAGCCAATTATTTTATAGATTTAGTAAATGTTCTCTTCCTGTTAAGTGTATGCTGTTTCGTAGTTATTGTTCAAATTTGTATTGTAGTTATGTGATGAATTTGTTTTTGCGTATCTGTTGATCAACTTAATTAGCTGATTACGAGTGAATGGCTGAGTTATGTCTGTCATCGTTTCGGCCCATTTGAGGTTCTGGACGGAACTCGACTCAGTGATTTGGTACTAATTACGAGATAACCGTCGCTATTCTGACTACTATTTCTGACAGTTAGTATTCGTAGTTATTAATGTAGTGAACGATTAATCAAAAGATATGACGTGTTCAGTACTTAGTGTGATTGGCTGTATGATTGAAGGCCACGCCTTAGAGTCTTAATACTTCTTTGTAATTGGTTAAGGTTTTGAAAATGAATAAAGTTGTTTTAGTTGGTCTTGGCGAGTACGCCACGACAGACGCAGTGCAGTCATAGAGAGTCTTGGATCAGCCTTGCGATAGTCTTGGGGACTTTTCCCCAGGGCGCTGTGTCTTATAGAGTGCTCGACTGACCGACTAAAGACGAGAGTTGATACGTATTTCGTTGTGTGTGTCTTATAGAGTGCTCGACTGACCGACTAAAGACGAGAGTTGAAACGTATTTCGTTGTGTGCGTCTATTTGACTGTAAAGCTTAAGTGACGTTCCAGATCCCGTACCTCAAGGGGACGCGATATAGAGACGAGACGATATCCCCCCCCCTGGCACGTGTGGAGAACCCAGAGAGGAGAATATTTCCCCCCTGATAGTTACCTGTGGTCAGATTTTACTGTGGCAGATTTTAATCGTATTCGTGTTGCATATAACAATGCCTTTAGAATTATATGTAATGTTTCTCGTTCTTTTAATAGTAGTATCACAAAAACTTTCGCCTGTCTACATGTTGATGATTTTCAGGTTAAGCTTAGAAAAATGTGCTACAGTTTTTCGCAACGTATTTTGTTGAGTAAGAACTCTGTTTTAATCAATTTATTATTTAGTGATATTTTTTTTTAATCACGTATATGGCAAATGTGTCGATATTATTTAATGCATACTTTTTATATGGGCTTGTCATGAACTAAAAGATAATAATAACTAATGCCAAGTTGTAATAACCTTTACAATATTATCTTACCTGAATGTGTCACCAAGTCTATCTACAAAGTGCAGATAATAATTCTTGTCAAGCATTAGCAGATCACCACTATTAAAATAAGCGTCGCCTTCTTTAAAGACATTTCGGACAACCTTCTGTTCAGACAGCTTTTTATCGCCCGAGTATCCATCGTAACGAGCCCGGTCATTGATTGGACAGAGCAGTAAACCAACTTTGCCTACACACGTTTAAGTAAAAGAGTAATTATTAACGATTGTTTGAGGTGGTTAGCTATTTTTAGCTATGTTATTATCATTTAAACGATAAGATGCAGTCTGTATAAATATTTGTTAGACCCCATCACTAACAGCAGATTTCCTAAGAGAGAATTACAAATATGTCCGTGACTAACATCGGGGGAGTCCAACCCTTTTAACATTTGTGTAGTTTACTAAACCCGAGATTCATTCAACATACCTCATATCACTATATTATGTATTAATTAATGAGGAGATGGACAAAGTTTTAATTGTTTTGCTATGTTTTGCACCGCTGCTACAGGAACAGATACAGACGTGTGCGTCTGTTTTGCTTTAAGAATTTCTCCGCCACAACTTTGATACGACAGCAGGAAATTTTTATTCTGAACTATATCTGATCCGATATTGTAAAATAAGTTTTAGCAACACAGGTGGCTCTAGAGGGTTCGATGTCTGTACTAAGGGGCCGATGGAAGTCAGAAGGCGCGAGGCGGAAGCTTCTGGGCTTAATTCATCTATATCATTCAGGTTAAAAGATGGTTGGGGAGGTGAAGTGCAAGTTATATTAAAATTAATTATTAAGTTTTACAAACTTAAACCAGACAAGCTGGAAATACTACAATTTGTAAGTAATTCTTGTGAGTCCACTGCAGCCCAACTTTTTCAAAGTATGTGTGGGAATCTTAATACACCTTAACTGATGTAATTTACAACAATCATGGTAGTTGCCTCAGATTGGGTATAACACGATGACCATTTCAACACCACACCATTTGTGTGTATCTCAATGGCAGAACACACCAAACACGACAAAACATGTCAAAGGCAACATAAAAGGAAAACAAACTACGATAGTTGATTGTAAACACTTCCCCATGGAATATTGCATGCGTTTCGGAAATAAAATCTAGGGTATAGGGAATAGATCGACGAGGCCGCTGTGGGCTCTATCAAACTCACAAATCGGGGCAAATTGGTAGTAAGTCCGGCCAAGTTACAAAGGCGCGATAAAAAATCAAATCATTATTATTATATTTGATAAAGCCTAATATCCCGGGATAAATGAGTGAATTGTTTCTGATATTATCTTTGTTTACAATATAACACAGGCGTTGGCGTCTAATGTAATGCTCGCTAATAATAGACTTGCAGTTGTGGGGACGGGTGGAAGCTGTACTTTCTGAGTTGTCAAGATGTTCAGCGCCGAGTTCCCACTCGCGGATATAACAAGTCACTCGTCGAAAAATCCACAGCTCCTACCACAAACCAAACAGTCGTCAAAAATATTCTAAAATCGTGAAGATGACAACAATATTGGACGGCACTGTCATGGTAGCCTAAGTTGTCCGGACGTCCTTCTAAACTGTGGGATAATTTTCAAATGTTTATCCAAGATAAATATTTGTGGTGATGCTTCGTAAATTTGAGTGCTTACCTCGACTTACAGGAATGCACCTGCCTTTTGCATCTCTGATTGGCTCTGCAGTTTCGTAATCGTACTTGATCAAAGTCAAACCGGTTATGAGCTAATAAGAAATTGGATCACATTATATTCTAAGGTAAAACCGATGTCAAGGAAATGTTTTAATGCGACGAGGTTTAATAACATTATGACCAAATTAAAGACGTGTGTAATATTTTTTTTTTAATCATTAAAATCAAGTCTGGTGATGTTGGCCAGGATATCAGAAGCGCGTTGACATCAATGCTGTCGGATAATAACAATTATAATAACTGTCATCCAAAATGCGGAATATCTACCCCGCCCACCCATTCACAAAACCGATAATAAGCACAATCAAACAGACGTACAATTTATATAACATTATCTACATATGTTTTGTCAGTGAGATACATACCTTCCAAATCGGTGTAAATTTACCAATTGCGCCAACAGTATTGTCTGTGTTTGCACTGAAGAAAGGAGCTTCCGTCGCACCATAGAACTCACATATAACGGGAATGTTGAAACGCTTCTGAAAGCGCTCCCAAATATCTGGGCGGAGACCGTTTCCTATCGCCACTCTAACCGAGTGTTTTTTGTCTTCTGGGTGCTGAAATTCGAGTTCATATGTATTACAGTTTTTACAGCCAAATGTATTGATTATTTTAAATACGTGATACCAAAATGAAAACAAATTATACTTCAATTTATAATAATCAACAATGTACAAGTTTCATACTACAATTAAATCCCCCACAGACAACACTTCACATGTATTATACTACAATAACATACTCCATAGACAATATTGCACAGGTATATCATAGTACAATTGAGTTCTCCATAGACAACACTGCACAGCTCGCATATTGCAAATGAATTTCCCAAAGATAATGTTGTGCAGGTTTCATTCTACAATTACATTCCCCATAGACAATGCTGTGCATGGTTTCATTACTACAATTACGTTCCCCATAGACAATGCTGTGCAGG